TTATAATATAAAAATAATTGAAAGTGTTAATACATAATGAATAACCAATAAATAAAACCTCATTTAAATTTTTTGGATATCTTTACTGGTTTAGCGGGAATACGGTTTCAAAGTTCTACTATGCTGCTGCACGAAATAAGGTGTGAGCCACTGTATTAATTTTGAAATAACATACAGTAGTCAAAAGTCAAAAACTACTTTCTAATAGTAGACATATGATAATCTATATGTATTGTTCGGACTTATTTGTTTGCAGAGCACCCGCTATTATCGCCCGTTTATTTCCCAATTTAAATCTAAGCTATCGTTCGTCGCTGGGGAAGTTCAACACCATTGGCAATGAGATTTTATTTACGCTCCGTCCAAATGTAAGTTTACACCTCTTATCAAATCGCCTATTAACCTTAGAGCACGCAACCAAATACATGTGTTCATATGTGTATTAATGTGTGGACAGTGAAATGCGAACTGATAAGCTCTTCATTCAGTAAATCACACAGCGTACACATGCAAACATTACATGTGGCGCCATTCGTAAATTCCGTGGAGTTGCCATCTTTGTTGTTGTGCGAATCGATAGAATTTGCAATCGATTAATGTACATTTGTAAAGCTAGACGAAAGCTGTCGCTCAACGCATTCGGCTGCCGGCGTTTTATTGAATGAAATGCGTAAAAAGCAAAGCACAAACATACATATAAAAAATTGTGTTAGTTTTAATTAAAATGAATGAGTTTAAGGCGCGTGGCTGGTTTGAGGTAAGTCTTGTTCTTGGTTCGAATGGGTAGACGGATTATATTACGTATTTTTGCATTTGCGCGGGCGAATTGCATCACATGAATGCATACATACATATGTACCTATATGTATATTTGCTAGAATCTGACATTGTTATGCTTATACAGGAACCCAAACCGCAAAACTTTCTGGAGCATGGCATCGGCACTCGAAATATGCTACAGCTGACGCCTCATGCTGGAATAAAGCCGTTCAAAAGCATTTTCAACTGGGGAAATGTATTTCCCTATGTGGCTCAGGTGGTGCGCAGTGAGAAATTTGATTATCGCCAGGTGAGTGCACTCTCTACATAATAATTTGAGTTAACACCCCATGCTCTATGTTGCGCAGGTTACGGAAATCGTTCACAATGATGCCGTCTTTAAGCATGCCATTAAACAGGCAGCTGAACAAGCCCTGCGTGAAGAACGCTATGCCAAAAATGGACACCGACTACTTGCTCGCAGCATTAGCGGCGACAAGGATGAGGAGCAAGACGAAAAGGAGGGTATATCGTATCAAAAGATACTGCATAAGCAAGAGCAACGCGCCATCACAATACTCAAGGAAATGGGCTCCACTTTGAACAACACATTGCTTGCCATAACCTCTTGGCTGCTCTACAAACTCCTGCCATGCTTCCTATCTGGCGTTGTGACCAATACGAAACAAATTGAAATGTTGCAGAATGCCTCGAAGCGGTCACCAGACACACCGCTGATCTTTGTGCCACTACACCGCAGTCACTTGGACTACATAATGGTGACTTTCATACTGACCAACAATGATATTCGAAGTCCTCTCGTTGCCGCTGGCAACAATCTCCAGATACCAGTTTTTGGCACTCTACTGCGTGGCCTAGGCGCCTTCTTCATTAAGCGCAAAATCGATCCCGTCGAGGGCAAGAAAGATGTGCTTTATCGTGCAGCTCTACATTTGTATATAACGCACGCTCTGAAACAGGGTCACAACATTGAGTTCTTTATCGAGGGCGGACGAACGCGTACGGGCAAACCTTGCATGCCCAAGGGCGGCATATTATCTGTGATTGTGAATGCCTTCATGGATGGCAGCATACCGGACGCCCTGCTGGTGCCGGTCTCTGTCAACTACGAGCGTCTGGTCGATGGTAATTTTGTGCGTGAGCAGAAGGGCGAGAAAAAGGTGCCTGAGTCGTTCAGGAAAGCCATTTCGGGCATTTGGAAAGCCCTCAACTCCAACTATGGTCTGATGCGCATCGACTTCAATGAACCCTATTCAATACGCGAGCTCGTTAACTCGTACAATAAAATTGCACGTGAAGATGGCAACTCAAAGGTCTATAAGCCAGCATCCAGGTAACATAATATAATATATCCACGTATATATATTTCATACATATTTTCTTTCGCCTACAGAACCCTGCAGCACAATCAATCAACGTCCTCGTTGTACGGCACCGATGTCGTCTGTGAGGAACATCGTAATCTTATCGAAAGCATCTCACGCCAGGTAGTTTTTGACTGTGCTGCAGCCACGTCTGTGATGTCTACCAATGCTCTGGCCTTCTTGCTGCTCACACGTTTTCGCAATGGCGCCGAAGAGCAACTAATTGCCGCTGCGCTTGATGATTTGCGTAATACACTAACTGGCTTCAAGGATTTGGGCTTCTCGGGCGAATCTGCGCACATTGTGGCTTATGCCTGTGATCTGCTGGGCGCAGGTAGGCCATACTCTTGTCCATCACTTTAAAGATTTTTTTTATATGAATTCAAAATTTGTACAGGTTTGGTGACCCGCATACGCGACGAGAATGGCCGCATGTTCATACGCGCTGTACCCACAGTGGAAAGTTTCATAGAGCTGTCGTACTACTCCAACATGCTAACGCCTCATTTTGCCCTAAGTTCCATTTTGTTGACTACATTTCATTCGCTCTTGCCTGAGGCCAAAGACGATGCAGAGGAAGCACCAGGTGTTTCGCAAAAAAAACTAATTGAGACTGCTCTGGAAAATTGTCTTGTCTATCGTTACGAATTTATATTAAACAAGCCAACGCAAGTATTGGAAAATATGCTGCATAAACAAATAGACGAGCTTCTTATCAATGGTTGCCTGCGCCGAAATGAAGTAATGAATTATGAAACATACATTATATTCATTATATAGCCTAACGATTCTATTTATAGGTCCAAGATTCTGATCATACAATAGAGTCGCGACGCTTGGCGTATCATTTGGCTTACGAATTGGGTGATAATGATGACTACGATAGTGAAGAAAATCTGCGCGTATCGGAGGATTCCGAGCTGCTGTTGCTGGCCAGAGAAACACTCGAGCAGCAGCGCAACATTTGTGAGGTCTTGGCACCATTTGCCTCCACATATTTGGCTGTCGCTCAGTCGCTGCAAATTCTCCATCGCAGCGCAATGCTGGAATCAGAATTTATCAGTTTCGTTATCAACGATATATCCAATAAGGTTACCCGCGGCAGCTGTATATATGGTAAGAAGAAGTGCTATAAAAGGCCTTAAGATAATAAACTAATTAATTTTCTTTCTAGCTGAAAGCATTTCGACTGACTCCGTGCGCAATTGCTTAAAGCTGTTTGAGAAATGGTCTGTGATTGAGGTGTGCAACCAGCGCGGCCTGCGTTTGATCTCGCTCAACACGCTTTACGAGATGTCGCGAGAGTCGCTGAACTCCATTGTCAAGAAAATTGAAGCCGTCGTTCCAAAGCTCAATGCGGGTCACTTTAGTCAGCAAAAACTGTTGAATGATCCGCCGCCAGTTTAACAAACTGCGTTTCCTTTTTTGATATATCATCGTTGTTTTCTTTACGTTTGGCATTCGTTTTTCTACTTCTCCGCCTCTTTCTCTCTCTCGCTCGTTACAAAGTAGTTAATCCTACTTAAGATTAAAGTGCATACTCTTAGATTTTAAATTTAAGACGTAATATATATCTTTAGTTATGTTTTTTTTTTCGTTCTTAGTTGTACGAGTATGAGTTATGTCAATGCCAAAGAGCTGTCTACATTTTTACTGTAGGTCAGCTAAGCGACTAAACCAAAAGTGGAACAAAATATGTATAAATGATGTACTACATATATGATATGTGCGCACATATGTATATAAGCATATTTTTCTACGGGCAATTGTCGAAGCAACTATATCAATACATAAATTTATATATCTATATATAATGTGAACCAAATAATGAACTGATTTAATAATGAAATAAACATTTTTGAATAAAACTGAATCCGTGCAATGCCTTTTGCGTTTATTCTTTCCAAAAATTTCAAAACATTTTAAATATACATTTTCATGACTCTTAACTGTCCTACAACGTTCTTACTTAATGATAACAAACAATAAATTATATAGGGAAATATAAAAGCGTCCATAGTCCAACGTTATTCAATGAGTTGTGTATAAAAAATGCAATAAAAAAGATAATAAGCAACAAATATGCCGTAAATGTATATATATATATATAAAATAATCTATAATCAGGTCTATTAAACTACGGTTCCGACACGGCAGAGGCAGCAGCCTCAGCCACATTACTAGTCGCATCAGCAGTTCCAGTTGTAGTCTCTGCAGCATCCGCTGTTGATTCCGTTGTGGGTACAGCATCTACACTGATCTGCTTGGTTTTGGCCCTCTTAACTGTCTTCTTCTTGGGCGCGCTGACATTAATGCGAATGCCCTTCTGTCTTGCCAATTGCTTTAGTTTCGTGTCCTGCGTACAGATATTGTTACTCAATGATGTATATTTTAATTTGAAGAATGTGCTTACCTTCATCTCTTCGTCCTTCAGCTTGCCGCCAATCTCACCGGAACAACGCTTGGCGCCGCAGAAGCAAGCCTTCTTGCCATTGTTCATCAGATCATCCCATAGGTAATTGAACGTAAGCTCAGTATTCTGCAAAGATAATGACATTGAAAATGTGTTTATTCTATCTCCATTTTATCCTTACCGCTGGTATGTCCTTGATGGCGAAGAGTCCCACTCGATTATTACAATTCACTGTCCACTTTTGGGTTGCGCAGTTCGGCTCACAGGAATGATTCATGAAGCGAGCCAGATTTCCCTTGGGACCCGCATCAATGATGAAATCTTTCTCTACGCCCAGGAAATAAAAGTTCTCATCCCGATTCTTTGTCTTTTGGGCCATGCGACGCTGGAATTCGGCATGATTGATTACCTCGCCGACATACTCGATAATGAAGTCGCCTTCCTGAATGGGCTCGCGGCAGACCAGACCAAAGCCGCGTTCATTCATGTAGACGACCTCAAGACGTGGCGACTTCCGCAGCTCAAACAGTTGATTCTCGCATCTGGCGCCTGCATGACAGTGATCCGGATGGCATTCGTGGTAGAGCATGCGATTGAGGCAACCCGACTCGGGGCCACAGGGATGGGCGCTGCCTGGCTTGCAGTCGCAGATGTTCAGGTCTTCCTCGTTGTAGACGAATCGCACGGGCGGCACTGGCTTGTTAGTCTTGATCTTGACATACGGCGGCGGGTGAAGCTTATTTCCATTTAATCGACCCAACGCCTGTTCCTGCCGTTTCTCCTTGATGATCTTGAGGAAACGTGTTGCCTCCTCCACGCCGGCCGTATAGCGTTTAGACATTAGGGACTTACTCTTGTTGCCGTCGCCAGTGTCGCCCTCAATATACAGATAAACGCGTCTACGCGATATCCAGCCGTGATCGTTGGTGCCAAAGAAACGCACCACAAAATCATTCATGCCATGCGGCTTCTTCAGTATATTGTTGGGTATCTCCGTGGGCGGCAATATGATGGCAGGCCACCAACGGAAGTTATTGAATTTGGCCCACACGATCTCACCATAGAGTGGCAGACGTCCGCTCTCGCACTCCTCGCAGATGTAGCTCTCGTTGGTCTTGATTGGAATGTTGCGGCAGTGCGCGTGCACCGCAATGGGGCAGGTCTCGCAGCAGAGTAGCTCGCCGCCACGCACGCAGATGTAGCACCACAGCACATTTAGGTTGGCGTCCGCCTTGGCAATGTTGTGCCTGGGGCAGATCAGATGGGTGACGGTAAGCATGCGTGAGCCGGCTGGAATGCAGCGAGAGTCCTGGTGATATGTGGCCGGACACTTGACGCACTTCGTCAGCTTGGCGCTGCCCAGCTGCTGGTACTTGCCGCTGGGATCTTCCGAGACGCAGGTGTGGCACACGTGCATCGGGCAGCGTGTCATGGAGTTGCTGACGTTCGCCTGCGGCCAATACTTGCAGCAGCTGGCATGGAACACACTGTTGCACAGTGGCTGGCTGCAGTGGATCAGCTTGTTGTTGGCCGCAGAAGACTCCTCTGTCTCGAGCTTGATTGGCGATGTCGGCGGCGAGCTGGCTGGCAATTGATGCTCGTGGCAAATGCAGCAGGCATTCGATTTGCCAGTAGCGCACTCCTGACATATAAGTGGCTCTTTCTCCTCCTCTTCCTGCTCCCGCTTCACCTCATCGCCAGTTATGTGCTTCACCAGCGCTGTCGTCGTTGTTGGCTCTACGTCCGAAACGGGCGATGAACTGGACACCGGCTCGGGCGTCTTAGCAATTGCTTTCGGAACTTTCATCGACTTGCCGTTTTCACTCCCCTGCTGCGCCAGGCACGTGGCATGCAACCAGGTGTTGCAGTTGAGTGAACAGCGCTGTATATCGCCGCCCGGCTCGTAGCAGTATTTGCAGACAGGCTCGCGATTCAGACCACGAAAAAGATATTTGCGGTCCAGCTGCAGAATATCGTCGATCACTTCTTCAATGGCTCTGCCAATGGGTTTTTTCACTTTGTTTTGCTCCGCGAGTTGTCGATCCGGTTCCATTAACTCTGGGGTATGCAGTGTTGAGTGGGATGCAGCTGCACTTGAGTGGGATGGAACAACCGGTGTTAGACTGCGTCGCAGCATCATGGTCTTTAGACGATTCGAGAGACGCTTTATTGTTCCAGCGCCACGTCCGCGTTCCGCGCCTAGGCGAGCCGATCCCAACAGCTCTTCATCGCCATTGGCCAAATCTCGCTCCAGTTCGCGCAGCTGCAGCTGCTTAAGTGACCAAATGTTACGGACTACCGCTAGCAGTACCTTTTCAACTTTCTCCTCCTGCCGATGGACCATCACGTACTCCTTGACCGCATCGAACAGTTGACCAAACTCTGGATTCTTATAGTTAACCAAGTCAGGTGAATGCATCTTTTCCGCAGAAGCATCCGGAACAGAAGATGTGTATCCCACTTGGGCCTCAACGTTGCCACTGAGCTTGCGGCGCTTTGCACGTTTCTGGTGATTGTGCTTGACGGGCGAATAGGCCGGACTGAACGGCGTGGAGGAACGTTCTCTCTTAACGGCCACCAGCTGACCCGTAGACGTGGACTTGGCCAGCAAATTATCGGTGGAGTCATACAGGCTGCTACCCACATCGGAGGTGTCGTGACGGACGGACTTCGATTGCTTGCGTTTCTCCCTGTTCTGAGTGCTGTAGGGAGCCGATAGGAAAGTATAAGAATCAGTTAATGATGGATTAGCTTCTACTTACATGGCTGATTCGTAGAGGTCAAAGAACTTTTGCATGCGCTCTGCATACGGCAGCTGAGCAACAATGTCTGCCTCGTCGATGGCTTGGTGCCACACGTGCAGCTTATTCTGTTTTGCCACCATTTGGCGGTATTTGGTGCTACGAGGCCCGAGCTTGATGCGCACCTCTTCGCGCAGATCTTGAAATGCTTTGAGGCCGGCGAAGGGCAACAGATTCTCCGACTTGATCCAATTGTGGCGACCATTATCGGCAAAGAAGCGAACATGCACCTGTATTGGCATCGGCGCTCCGGGCGCACTGTCCGTGGACTTGCGTTGCGGATGCGTCTGTGGATTGCCCACAATCTGACCCAACGGATCCGGACATACCATGCAGGGCCAGTAGCAATAGGTAAACAGCTTGCCCCAATAGAGATCACCCACCTGATAGGTGGGCCAGCCCGCATCGGTGACAATGGATGAACCCTTTGCACTATCTAAACTGATCGATGAGGGCGATTTGATCGATTGCTCGCTATTGTTGGCGGGCTCTATATGATCTGGTGGAGATGACAATGGTTCAACGTCGATCGCCGTAGACTCTCCCGGGCCGTGGTCAGCATCTTTAATTTCCTCAACTTTTAGCTTTGGTTCATTTTGGTCATCAGACTCGTTTATTTTTTGTTCGGCCTCTTCCATTGGCTCAACTTTGATTGGCAGCTCAGGTTGGCCAGGACTCGCTTCCATTATACCCTCTGTACGCTGCAGTTGCTCCTCCACATTTGGATCTACACTCGATTTATTGGCTGCATCATCAGCCCCAGTGCTCTTAATCTTTTGCTTTGGACCACGTTTCAGTTTACGCTTGAGCTGTTTGCGTGCTGGATTCACCAATGCCACATCCTCAGCGTCGGCCTCGAAGCCCGTGCTGTTGGGTGAATTGGCGCCATTTTTTATGAGCAGCTTATCAATGGGACTCATGTAGACAGCAGCCGCAGCCGTTACGTAGCTCTTGGGCGAGGCCACATCGCTGTCCCTATCTCTGGCATTAAGTTCACAGCTGCTGTTTAGAGGCTGATTACGTCGACGTGTTGTGCGCATTTTGTCTGAATTGTCAGACATAGTGGTAATAGGGGAGTTGGCATTGGCATAGCCAATGTATTTGGGGCTCAAGTTTGACTGCAAATTTATCAAGTCACGCTTTCCTAAAGAGAGTCATTAGGCTTGATATCTAGTTTCGATTAAACAACTTTCTACTTACTATGTTGTGTTCTTGCTCGTTGTTTTTCTCCAGTTGTCGTTTCTTCTGGCGTTTGCGGTGTTTGCCGCATTTCTGCTGTGTTGTGCTGTTCATTTTCCGTTTGCTGCTCACTACTGTCCGTGGCCGACTCGGCGTCGTTTAGTAAATTCCGAAGCAGCAAATTTCCGGGAAAGCGTTTAATTTTGTTTGAGGATTGCAGCTCAGATTTACTTAGCGTTGGTGTTATGGAGTCTGTATTTGCTTTCTCCATTGCCACACTTGATTTATGAACATCATCAGCATTTTGCATGTCTATATCTGTTTTAATTGCGCTTATTTTCATTACTATAATTGCTTAATTATTCAGTTTGCATTAACAAGCACAGAAATAATACCAAGCATACCAAGCGCTTGCTTGCGCCAAATTATTGTACAGTGTTGCATTACCATACATCTGTGGTCACCCCGAAAACATTAACATATGCCGCAACATAGTAACAGAGCACACTGATGTTAAACCGAAAACAATCAACTATTATTTTCTCAAAGAGAACTAATTTTATAAATGCAGTTTTATCTTAAATGATAATTAAACTAGATTTTATTTCAGTCCTCAAAGAAAAATAGTGTACAATTCTTAAATTGAAATGTAACAGCTGAGAACAAAAACATACCCATAACAGCGCAGCTGTTGCTCAGCAGTATTTCAGAACTGCTAAACAAATACTGAAAAGTCAAAGTAAGTGGTAAGCAAAAATGAGTATTTTATAAATTGTCTATGGTCACACCACAACGCCTGAGAAAAACATTTAATCCAAAACATAAATTGTAATTAATTTCGTTGTGTCCATACAAAATGGACAATTTTGTAAAGACACTCATTGAAGAAGTCAAGTCTCAGGGAGTGTTTGACGAGTTTCGCTTTAATTGCTGCCTGGCCGATGTGGACACAAAGCCCGCATACCAGAATGTACGGAATCGTGTGGAGACCGCAGTAAAAGAGTTTCTGAGCAAACAACATTGGACCCCCGACACAAACAAAGTGCAGCTGAGGGAAAGGCTGCGTAAGCATTTGCTCGAGTAAGTCTAAACCCATTTTTATTAGTTTCCCCACTATATATAATATATATATAACTCGTAACCTTGCAGCTCTGATGTACTGGATAAGGGCGTCGATCATATAGTGGATCAGGTGGTCAACCCAAAGGTGGCCACAATATTTGAGCCCAAAATTGAAAGCATTGCTTACAAGTATTTGGGCATTACCCCACCACCGCCACCCACAAACCCACCGCCGCGCCCGCCGCTGCTGCCAGCGCCGCCCTTGCCACCCTACACTGGCCATGGTCTTGGCCATATGAATGGTGGCAGTCTACTTAAGGTGGAGACAACCGCTAGCCTGCTACCAACCGATTTAGAGCAAATTAGTCCAGATTCTGATCGCGCAACAGTTAAGTCGGATGCGAGGGATGACAGCAAGGACGATGATTTGCCTCCAGGTGTAGATATGGATGATATTCTCGATGAGGATGATGCCACATCGCCTGCATTCGAGCCGGCCAGCAGCATTAAGGAAGACACAAACAATGCATCGTTAAACACATCCGATTCGGTTAGGGATGTCAAGGAGCTGGCGAATGACTCGCGAGACGCTGGCGCCTCGCAAGCCTCACAGCTATCCCAGGTTTCTAGCGACAGTCGCCTCACCATTGCTTCGACCGACGCACCACAGCAGTCGTCCACCAACAACAGCGTTGAGCTGACGACGAACATTGCCGCTAGTATGTCCGAGGAGGCGCAAATGCCCAAGTTCAATGAAAACTCCAATGATGCAAGCGACAACAGCGGGCGACAGTTGCATTTTGATATCAAGCAGGATGCGATCACATTCGAGGGTTTGTTGCTAACCGCAAAACAACTTTTGTTTATTTACTCTAAAAGTATTCTACTTCCAGGCACTGAGCGCAGAAATTCCTTGTCGCAATGCTCGAATGGTGGAGCGGCTGCTCTTTCCATTGAGGATGCCATTATGAGTGAGGTGAAAGCCAATATAAATGATGCCTGCGATAATCCCCTAGAGACAATACCAAAGCCGTCGCCAGAGCCCATTAAAACTGAGAGTAATTTTGGTCTGTTTACGGAATCAAAACACAATTCGCAGCCAATGATACCCAAAGAAAGTACAACGCCAATACCTCAGTTCCCTCCATTACCGGAAGAGCCGCCATTACCAGAAATAAAACCAGAATTGCCGCCAACCGAAGATGCAAAGGCAGAAGAGGCTGAACCAGTGGCCACAACGTTACCAACTTTATCAGATGAGATAAACAAATCTGTCGAATTGACTGCTTCGCCTGCCTCCGCTTCGTCGTCTTCGCAGACGAAGAAGCCGTCACAGTCCAGGGACAAGGACAAACGTCAGCATTCGCACTCTCGCTCTGATGACAAACAGCGTCGAAAGAGTCGGGAACGGGAACGTGACCATGATAAGTCGCGCAGCAAAACTTCTTCGAGCTCGAAGCACTCCTCGTCCCATTCAACACATTCATCCAGTTCTAAGCATCGGAGCAGCAGTTCTAAAAATGACAAGAGCTCCACTACAAGCACATCCAGCCGTAGCAACCATGACTCCACCTCCTCCTCTAAGCGTTCCTCGTCGCGCCACGAATCTTCTTCATCCGCGCACAAGAAACACAAATCCAGCTCATCTGGGTCACGCTCGGAGCGCGATCGCGCCAAGAGTCGGGACAGCAGAGAAACCCATAACCATAGTCATCATAGTCGTAGCCACAACGGCAGTGGGAGCTCATCGTCGAGCTCAAAGCGCGAACGTGAACGAGATCGTGAACGGGATCGGAACAAGTCTAGCTCGAATTCAACTTCCAATTCCGCCTCCAATTCCATAGCAGCAGTGATCCAAGATGATCACAACGAAGTCAAAGCAAAGCTGCTAAAGCGACATAGCAATGACTCAAATGATGAGCCACCTGGCAGTTCCAGTAAATCCCATTCAGACAGTGCTGTGAGTCGAACTAAGGAGAATAGCACTGATGCAGCCGTTCAAAATGAAAGCAAGCCAGCGGAGAGCAGTGGAACGAACGGAACAAATGGCACCAATGGGACGACGAGTAACAATGATTCGGCTGAATTGGTGGCGGCCAGCAATGTAGTCATCGTAAGTGACATGCTGCAGCAATCGACAGCCAGCTTCGTTGAACTGAGCGGCGGAGGTGCAGCGCAGAAGCCAGCAGAGGAAGACAATAAAACTGAAGCAACTGAAAACGAGGCAAAGCAAGCGGCTGAGAAATCGATGGAATTAGAAAATATAGGTCCTACAAGCAAGTCACCAGAGCCAATTGTAGAGCCAGCTGTGGAACCAGTTGAAGAGGCCGTTGTGGAGCCCGTCGTGGAGCCAGTTGTGGAACAAGTTGTTGAGCCAGCCACAGAACCTGTTGAAGCTTCAGCTGAGGCTGAAATGCTACCCACTGAGACCGAAAGCGTTGAGGAAATACCTGAAGAGGTTAGTCCACAGCCTGAAGATGAAACGGAGGCAGTTGTTGATGCTGTTGCTGATCCACAAAATGCAGAGTCCATCAAGAAAGCCATAAGCCTAAAAGACGAGACTGAGGTCAAAGTAACTGCCGATAGTATTACGCATTTCGAGCAGGACGCTGAGGAGTTTAAGGTGCGTCTGCAGCTGATTGAGCAACACATCAAGGATCGACGGCAGCTTGTCAACGTTTTGAGTGAGCTTGGGGACACGGGTTGTCCGCGTCGCAGTGTGAGCAAACGTCGTCTCAGCAGCGAGGCATCGTCTTCCAAAGAGCAGAGCAATTTCAGCAGCAGCAGCAGCAGCACCGCAGGCAGTCCCAATGCCAAAGCCAAGAGGACGCGTCGCGATGAGGCAAAGACATCACCCACACCATCTGAGATTAGCGTCAATTCCAAGGAAAACGAGGAGCACGAAAAAGGTAATTGGAGATAAAGTCTACACTTTTGAAAGATACTAATCCATCACACCTCAACTACTTACATTTAAATATTGCTATATACATATACATATATCTGTACATATCTGCCTCTGTTTTCTATTCACATGCCTTCCACACGCATATAAACCCTAAATCCATAAATCGCACATTATGTAGTTTCTCTAGAGCTCTAAAACTGGGTAAGACGCCAGCGTATCCAAAACATTTCTATTGTAGTCCTAAAGCCCTTACCCCAAGTAGGACTCAAGTCATATATAGTATCTAATGTATATATGTATCTCAATTCACAGGTGATTTGTCGGGTAGACGTCTCAGCCAGAAGCTGTGCCAACAGCAGCGCTACACGAACGATGATCTCTACAAGCCCCGCCCAGTTTTGTCGCAACGTTCGCGGCGTCGCGGCCTAGATTCAATCCTCTAGCTTGTGCCTCACACGCACACATACACACACACACACGCTAAAGAAACGCGAATCGAATCAAATATAAATATGTAAAAAATAATAATAATGGAATTGATAATAAAAAGGCAATTGTTGTTGTTGCATTTGACATAAAACAGTTTGTTTTTTGGATAGCCATTTAATTATTTTTGGGAATTTTTTGCTTTCGCCATTGTTTATCTCTTTTTTTTGTTGGTGTTTGTCTCTTCAATTATTTAACAATAAAATGTATTAATTTAAAGAGCTACGAGTACATTGACAAATATCAAGTGCACATTTATATACATAGATATATATACATATACACATATATATATATATAATGTAGTAAATAAAATTAACAAACAATAAACATAAGTATGATGTATTTGCATGTGGAGGAATATATTTATATAGTATTTAGTCCCGGAGATTCGATCTGCTGCTCGATCGTGATGCCGTCTACAGAATTGAACTCGTTTTTCATCATCTTCGTCTCTTTTTAGCCTAAAAACTTTGGTACATTTAAGTATTGATCAATAGCTCGATTAACTGGTACAGGGATCAAACAAACAAACAAATATTAATAATAATACAACTTTAACAATGGGGTATCACAATCGAGCACTGGATCGATTAGCCAGGGACAACATCTGGGATCATTCATACATATATGGTATACTAAGCAGTTTTTTTTATCGAAACTAATTGAAAATTTGTTGTTTTTGTAACAGCATAAAGTGTATTTGTTTTAATTGTAATTTGATTACAAATCAATTAATTTTCCCGCGAATGACGATTTTTTGTTCTTTTTTTTTTTTTGTATTCTTAGCATTGCGCTTAATGTTTCCTGCATTTTTGCATTTCCTTTTTACTTTAACAACATAAACATAAATATATTTATATATGTATATATACTTTTAAATTTGTTTAAAAAAAAAATCATCGCAGTAATACATATTATTAGGTTTACAAGGAGGTTTCCTCTCATCATTTTCAAGTAACATAGATACAATATTATTATCAGTATTTTTAACAAGAATTTCGCAGATGACTGTATCGTATGATTGTGTATGGGTGTGAGTGTGTGTGTGTGTGTGTGTCTAGGAGTGTGTTTGTGTATAGGGGGGGGGGAGGAGGGAGGGGCTTGTAAGAGTTTTGTGCACAACAACAACTACAATTTAACCTCCCACTATGGAGTGATAAAACTCTCATACCGACTCCACGCCGATTATTCAAACAAAAGCAGCCAAAAGGAAGGGCAAAGAACGGGCAATGGCAGTCGCCAAGCGTTTCAAACGCTGTGTCCGACACCATCGCAGTCTTCTCCTCATTCTTCACCAAATATTTACATACACATATTATGCTTCGCTCCGGCTGCTCTCTTAACTAAAAGCTACGCTTATTTTTAGTCGCTGCTGTTTACGTGCCCAGCTTACGTACTGGAGAATCCCCGCTCATACGGACTCTTCACTTCCGTGTGCCTCGTATGCATGTTGATAGTGGGCGCCGCGGTTCGTGTCGATAGCTCACAGACCGTTTTAATGGCACCGGACGCACTCACACTTGGCGGTGCCGGCTGGTGAATCGTTGTTACCTCCTTGACCGTGAGGTCTGCCAAGTCTTCGCCTTGCTCATCGGCCTCACTCTTGGGCAACACGTAGTCGACATTAGCTTTGGGCTTCGCCAGCTCAGAGCGGCCCGTAATTGACGATTTATACTCCTCCGGCTTCAAGCCGCACAAATAGAACTTGAAGAACTCGTACGTGGACCAACAGATTGCTGTGGCGGGCATGGAGTACAGCACACGTGCCGTTATACCCTTAAAGAATCCACGGGCTCCGGCCATTCGATAAATCTGTAAACAATGGGAATACAAATTAGTTGTAATCAATTATTAAATTCAATTCTCATTGATTATTTACTTTTCGGCTGGCTTCCAGCATGCCCTTGGTGAGTCCTGTTTCCTGCGTGTTAAGCAGAGTCTTAATCACGTCCATTGGCGTCGTTATGGCCGCTGCAGCTGCACCAGCCGCTCCTCCAGCTGCCATATGCACCACTGGATTATACTTGCGCTCCACATTTAACTATAAGAATTAAACAAAATAAATTAGAGAAGTTCCTTTCTCTGACTCTTTACTGCACTATCTTACCATGTTCTGTAGAAATTCATATGTTGTAAAATGAATTGTCTGATATGGTATATTCATGACCAGCTGCGTTGAGTAGGAGCGATAGAAGGCACGGATTCCCTCCTTGAGGTAAACGTCCCGCATGCATCGTATTACCGAGGTATATGGCGAGTTGTACATTTGCATGCGCTGCTTGATCACGTCCGTGGGATTGGAAATGGCATCGTGTATGAGGGTCGCCACAGAGCCGGACACCACTAAAACCCCAGCCAAGCCCAACGATAATGAGGTCAATATATCAAATGGGTTAGTTTATAGCTGCAACGCACCATAGTTTAGATGATTGTGTGATGTGACTTTCGTCAGCGATTCCTTTGTCATCTCATAGACAGCAAAATATAATGAATGGGCGGGTCCAGCGCCAAGTACCACAGCGCTTGCTCCACGCACGGGTCTAAATGGAACAACATAGATCAATATGAATAAGAGAAGTTGCAATATTAAAGTGCATACTAAATGCATACCTCATGAGTCCCTCTCGCGAGATCATGTTCCGTAACGTAGCCATGATGTTCAAATGAGCTGTAGGCGATGTAAGACTCTGCATGCGTGTCTGTAAAGATCCAAATTGAATATATTAATATACATATATTACATATATAATGTAATCAAATTCTGATAAGTTAATGATTTATGTTAAATAATGAACTTTGCAATGTTAATAAACATGTTACAGCAATGCAACAGCTTATAACAGATGCGATTTGAAACGGTAATCTAAATTACAGCAGTTTTGCTGGAATAAGCATAACAGATATTTGCTTCAATGTTAATAACAGCAACTCTGCAGTAGCCGGTCATGTAAATAACATGACGGTCATGAGATCAACAAAAATTATAGTATTCATGAGTTACTCATTGAATGCAGCTACAAAATAAATTGGATTTCACAAGAAATTTATTACAAACGTTGAAAATATATTCTCCCTTTTGTTTATAATAAAAAAAAATATATAAATAATACATATGTATGTATGTATTACGAATCGACTGCACATTTTTATTGTATCAGTGCCTTCAAGTGGGTGAATGTTGCAAACAGACGTCAAAGATTTCCAAGAAAATATTATAAGATAAAGCCCTATTTCTTAGAATTTCAAAGCAATACAATGGAATAAATCATTTTCTTTAGGCTAATTGAAGCGCACTGCAATTTGAATATAGAACGCTGAGGGAATTATCTAATAGATTTCTAGGAAAGGCATACTATTGTTGGCGAAATGCCAATAAAATTTCGCTAGTACAAAAAAAAAAAAACAAACCTTTGGAGATCAAGCTTTACAAATGTTTCTAGTAATTTTCCATTTATGATTGGACAGCATCCCTTGCCATATGAATTACAGAGAATGCGGCACGAACACGATTAGATAAAACTATTGCTACAACAATGGCTAACTACTTATCTATGCACAAAGCATACATACACATATTTATATAGTATATAATTATTACACATATACATATATGTGTATAGTTGAAGTGTATGTATGTATAACAAGTGAACGCCCGCACTATCAAATCAACGCCGACAACAACGATATCAGCGTCAACGAGAAGCCCATTCAAGGTGATGAAAATCAGCAATTTAAAAACCAAAAGCCGTCCGTTCGTTGGCTCGACGATGATCGAACGAGTCTGTTTTTAATTAAAAACAAGTACTTTAAGGAGTGTCTGGACAATATATAAATGTATACATATATATGTATATAAATATGTGGGGATATTATATGTGACTATGACTACACAAGATGCATTTATTAATGCGTTGTCTGGTGAGTTTCTATACTCTTCCAGTTCTAGACTAAATGACTAATTCCACTTCTCTCGAGCCTAGTATATATACTATATCATACGGGCTTAGGAATAGATAATATTCTCAAATTATCGCACATAATCGAAGAACGTTTCCACGAATAATCTATAAAATAGTTTGTGCTCAAGGAAAGTCAATTCGTATAGATTGTACGAATACTTATAGATAAATACATATATTCTATTGAAAAGATCTTCGTACAATATACCTTAAATGCAAAATATATCGATTATTCTATTATTTATATTAATTCATAACTATTATTACATTAAACATCTCTTAGCTAAAAATCCCGCCTAACGTCTACTCTATGACGATACATTTTGCAATGACCTTCGATAACGAAAAAGTTCACCCCCTGCTGGGATCCCATATGAAGCCTTTTTTGATAAGCAAAATGGCAAATCAGCACATAAAAGAAAAACAACAACAAAATGAAATACAATTATTTATAAACTAAAACAAGCAATAGCAGCAGCAGCAACAACAAACTTGTTTGTTTAATTGTCGCTCAATTGAGAACTATACTCGGAATGTGTCGTAACGCCTGGAAATAAGCTCGTCACAGTGTGACAATAAATGCCTACAAATATATGCACATGTATGAATATATATATGTATGTATATATAAATATATATGTATGACTACTCGGCGTCTGTCGATGACGCCGGGAATCCCTAGGCAGCTTTAGTTTGGCATTTAATTGCCCACCGCCCGTCAAATACGGATCGCTCATATTTATATGAGGAATTATGGCAAAAAGAAACATTTTATTTTTACTTTTCATACTCGTTCGGGCAATGACAAAGAGTTTATTGGCTGTGCGTGCGAACGTCTGTTTGTCTATATGAATGGAAATCAGTTAGCAGCTATTGAAATATCTCTTCCAACACTGCTAAGTTTTTTTTTGGATTCGCCCGCTGGGAATGTAGCCAGGACTTGTTTTTCTTTCTCTCTTCCATGGGGACTTGGGATTTACATATTCTCGCAGCAAACGATACAAATTTCATAGGGACTTGAACAGACCCTTTCAGGTTTGTTCCAGATCATAAATAAAAGTATCCATTACAGTTTGTCAGCTAGAGTTTCATATGGAGTGGAATGTCAAGAGTTGATATATACATATGTTATGTTAACATTATATAATCTTATTATATATATGTATATACATAAATAATATTACATATATGTATATCATATATTATGTACATCGTCCCCATTCCTAATCGTTCATCATGTTAGGCTTAGGATCACAGAGTCTAGGTCTAGCAGTTAGATCAGTGTGTTCACGTTCTCTACAGTTATACCTATAAATTATATATTGCAAATCGGAAAACATTACCATGTCATCTATATAAATTGGAGCTGTTCGAGCACATCGTTGCGACCAATGGCAATATTATTTTTACATGTATTCTGGTTTTCGTTGAGAAAATCAATAAGCGTTCGGCTCGGCAAACGAAGTGAATGTTGTACGTACTCGCAAACGAGTCAATATTTTTTCTTAAATCCAAGAATCAGCCATGCTGACTGCATGCTCAACACTCATATGTATATATTTACACTTTACATATATACATATTAATAAGATAATACATGTGCTCAAATGCGAACAACCGCAATGACGTTCCATGGTTAAGTGCGCAAATAGATGGATGTAATAGGCACGTATATGTATGTGTGGTGTGGGTGTGGGTCTGTGTAGCTCTCAATTCACTGAAATATGAGCTGTATAAAACTATATAAAAGATTTTATAACCCTTTTGTGTCTACAAGATTTTACAATATAGACAGCCAAATTTTAGTTTATAGTATTTTATATTTATACTAAAGACAGCCCTTATATTGATAAGACATGAAAATAAAAGACTTTTTTTTAAAAGAATAAAGGTTAAACTCTCTCAATCTCACTATGTATGTCATTCTCTGAAAAATCACGTATAAAATCAATAATCTTTTATAGTCGATATCTTTAAAGGGTATTGTTTAGTCCTGCATCATGTGCATTGCTGATTCGGTGAAAATTTAATCAAAAGTCCATGTAAAACGTAAACATTGATATCATTTCCAACAGTTCTCATTGTCGTATTGAACTTGTTTAACAGTATTCCTACATACAAACATACAAAGTGGTTTCGATAGTTGTAAATTGTGAAATTGAATAGACTTTGGCAAGTGGAAGGTTCTGACGTATTTATTACTCTATTATTCATATATTATTTTTTATCGTATATGTGTCCAATTAGATTATATCATAATGCGTGACTTAGCTACCGCCGCCGAATAAATGAAAGCTAATCTTATCTGTCAGAATGAAAATATTTTATAACACCGTCAAGAACGTGACTGATAAGAGACAGATTGCTAAGCATACGGTCAGCGTGACACAGATAAATCCTCTAAGCTAAGCTGAGCAGCGCGAATTGGAGTCTGATTTCCCAATAAGATAGGATTTTTGGGGGTGTGGTGGGGCGGCGAGCAACGCGCGCATTGCTGAGCAGCAAAAGCCAAAGAAATTACATCACGATTATGCCGAGGCATAAGACGAAAACACTAGCACACCAACACAGGTACACGCACTTGCACATATGTACACACGAATGGGTATGAAGATATGCGCGATTGTGAGGTTAGGTACGTTATGTTTATGCACTTATTTGATTACATACACAACTTTTGCGTTCATTGGAAAAATGAAAAACAACATCATCATTGCATATACATACTAACACTCACCTTAACCGAGTCCAGCGGATACATGACAACATGCTCCAATACGCCCGCTAGCGCGCCAGCAGTCATATTAATACCGACGCTGGTCGTCGGCAGCGATTCGTAGTCATCCATATTCATGGCGTTGTTGGCCTCTGTTGGAATTTGGAATTGACTTTGATATCCCAAATAAATTTCTTATTAGAATCTCTTTTACAATTACGAAAAAAAAAGTTCAGTGAGCAGCCGCGTTGCTTGCGTTATTGGCGTTTCTTTTGCTTTGACAGTGTGATTTCTCTTCGCTTCTGCCTTTCGCCACAACTTTCGCAGCGAGTTTACAGGCACTGCCACCAGCGAGCAGCTGATAAGCGACCGCGAGCACGCACTTTGGATGATATTGCCTTACGTTGCGCGCACTCACACACGCACAGAAACACACACACACACGTTCGTTGAATGTTGGCGTTGCTACTACTATTATTATTTGCGGTGAATTTAGATGTGGGGGCACGCAACTGGGTTGAAGTTGAAGGACAAATTCACATCGATTGCCGGCGTACTTTAATTTGCACACTATTAATTTTGTTGTATAACACGGTTGCGGACCTTTTCCGTGTTAGCGGTCTTATGTATGTATGTAGGTATGTGTATAAGTAGAGGACGGCGGATGTATGTGACTACGCGAAACTATAATTGACGGGTGCACCACCTCCACGCACGACGAACAACAATGAAATGTTACTATCCGTTGTCGATTTTGTTGCTGCTCGCTCGCACTCGAGCGTCTCGCTGCTGCTGCTGCTGTCACTGTGCGCTGCTGCCGTGGCGCATTCTATAAAATGGGCTCTAAAAAATGAACTAGATTATAAAATAGATATATTGTAACTGCTAGGTGTATGATAACTAACTCACACAAATGTTGAATTTATGTAAAATCATTTAGTATTTTAGCCAACTACAAATCTCAAATCGTGCCTGCAAGTTGAGCTGAGTGCACGTGTGTGTGTGTGTGTGTATGTGAGCATGGGAGCATGGGAGAAGAACGCGGTCAAAAAGTAATGTCAAAAACAGCTTGAACTGAAAGTTATCGAATGTCACTCTGCCCTGGCTACTTTGCGAACCCAGCGTAAATTTATCGATATTGACATTTCGATTTTAGTCTAATATTTTGTTTGTGGTTTGACGCTGACAGCATAAAAGAACACAACTATTTTTTATTTGTCTTAAAAATAAATAGAAAACGTGTGACATACAAATTTAGACAACTACATTATTAACGCCAGTCTTGTAACGTTAAAATAACCATTTCAATTACTTTTCGTAGGGTGGCAACACTCTCGCAACTATTTATACGCTTTGTCTGCGACGCGACGGCGTCATTTTTGTGTGCGAAAAGCGTTCGGTCGGTCAACCTCCAACTTGGGGAGTTACAACGGATTCTGTCGGTGATCTGAAGTCGTTCAACTGACGTGGCCAAAAGCCAATTAAAATAAATTTATCAGTCAAGTTGTAAATAATATAAAGATGAAGCAGGTTCTGCTGCTCGGCCTTTTGCTCTTAGCAGGTGAATACCTATTTTGTTTCGTTGCCACGCACAAAAAAATTTGTTTGCCGGCAATTTAACCTAATTTTTGATTTAAACAAATTTATTTATATTATTGAAATTGTTGCGGAATCAGGCATAAATCAGATAGTCGCTGATGAAGCAGACAACGTGGAGACGGTTGATGTGGATATGGGTGCCTTTAAGGAAGGCTCTAGAACAGGTAAGAGTCAGAGCGTTCACGCCCCCTGCCGGTCAGCAGCTTTTTCTTTTTGTACACGTCAGCGTTAAGTTTTTACCGTTGTCCATGCTGACACCCCTTATCTCCATACAAATACATGCTTACTCATATTGTACTCTTGTACATATTTATTAATTTATTGACTATAGATGCCGAAACGTTAAAACGGGAAGAAGAAGCTATTCAATTGGATGGTCTTAATGTTGCACAGCTGAAAGAAATACGCGAAAAGGTAGGCACACGCATACATATATATAGTTCTTTATATATACACATAAGTAAATAAATAGTGTTAAGTACACATAATCCATTCATAAATGACGACACAATTATTGAATGGTCGACTATCGAATACACTATGATTAATTACGGATTTAGCTCTGCACGCATACGTATACATATGTACCAACATACACATGCATATGTATGTGCACACGTATATATACATATGTATACACATGTACACGCAGACATTCATATGCTTACGCCCCCATTCATAAATTAGTGAAATCTAATCAGGCGTGCTCCACTATCAAATACCGTTCAATCTTTAATTATTTAGCTTCTTGCTTGCATTAAATGGATATTTATGTTTAACTGCATTTGTGTAAATTTAATTTATTTAATATATATAATATTAATATTGGCCTGCATTAAATAGCTTTTTTTTTTTTACTTACATGTCTATATTTTTGTAAGGTTCTATATTTATTTCCAAATATTTATATGTTTCTTTTTGCATAGGCTGAAAAGTTCACATTCCAAACAGAGGTGAATCGCATGATGAAGCTGATTATTAATTCGCTGTATCGCAACAAGGAGATCTTCTTGCGTGAGTTAATTTCGAACGCCTCCGATGCCATTGACAAGATTCGTTTGCTGGCGCTAACCAATAGTAAGGAACTTGAATCGAATCCGGAATTATATATACGTATTAAGGCCGACAAGGAGAACAAAGTGTTGCACATTTTGGATTCTGGAATCGGTATGACGTATCAGGATCTCATTAACAATTTGGGCACAATTGCCAAGTCTGGCACAGCGGATTTCCTTGCTAAAATGCAGGATCCCAGCAAATCGGAAGGTCAGGACTTGAATGATATGATTGGACAGTTCGGTGTGGGCTTCTATTCGGCCTTTTTGGTCGCTGATCGTGTTGTGGTTACCACTAAGCACAACGACGACAAGCAGTATATCTGGGAGTCGGATGCCAATAGCTTCTCCATTACGGAAGATCCACGTGGCGACACCCTGAAGCGCGGCTCCATCATTTCATTGTACCTAAAGGACGAGGCCCAGGACTTTTTGGAGGAGGATACCGTGCGCGATTTGATTCGCAAATACTCGCAGTTCATCAACTTCCCCATTATGATGTGGTCCAGCAAGACTGTCGAAGAGGAGGTGCCCGTCGAGGATGAAGCACCTGAGACCGCAAAGACTGAGGATGACGTTGAGGATGCTGATGAAGATGCCAAGGTCGAGGAGGCTACTGAGCAGGATAAGCCCAAAACGAAGAAGGTCTCCAAGACTACCTGGGATTGGCTACTGATCAATGATAGCAAACCCATATGGACGCGCAAGCCTTCAGAAGTCACCGAGGAGGAATACAATGCATTCTACAAGAGTCTGACAAAGGACTCAAGTGAACCCCTAACCCAAACGCATTTCGTGGCCGAGGGTGAGGTCACCTTCAAGAGTTTGCTGTACATTCCAAAGATTCAACCATCGGAATCCTTCAATCGCTATGGCACCAAGTCTGACAACATTAAGCTCTACGTGCGTCGTGTATTCATCACCGATGAGTTCAACGACATGATGCCCAACTACTTGAGCTTCATTCGCGGCGTGGTCGACTCTGATGATCTGCCATTGAATGTCTCTCGCGAAACTCTGCAGCAGCACAAGCTGATCAAGGTCATCAAGAAGAAGTTGGTGCGCAAGGTATTGGACATGATTAAGAAGATCGACAAGGCCACATACGAGAAGTTCTGGAAGGAGTTCTCCACCAAGTAAGTAAAATTAGAGGAAAGTTTTTATACAAATATATACTAATTGATATTCTATTGTTTAGCATTAAATTGGGCGTCATGGAGGATCCTAGCAATCGTTCCCGCCTGGCTAAGCTGCTGCGCTTCCAGAGCTCCAATGGCAAGGGCGTCACCTCGCTGGCCGAGTACGTGGAACGCATGAAGTCGAAGCAGGAGCATATCTACTATATTGCCGGTGCCAACCGTGCTGAGGTCGAGAAGTCGCCCTTCGTTGAGCGTCTGTTGAGCAAGGGCTACGAAGTGCTGTTTTTGGTTGAGGCCGTTGATGAATATTGCATCTCTGCACTGCCCGAGTTCGATGGCAAGAAATTCCAGAATGTTGCCAAGGAGGGCTTCAAGCTAAACGAGTCTGAGAAGAGCAAGGAGAAGTTTGAGTTGCTGAAGAGCACATTCGAGCCATTGATCAAATGGTTGAGCGAGGTGGCCCTCAAGGACCAGATCAGCAAAGCTCAGGTATCGGAGCGTCTGAGCAACTCGCCTTGCGCCTTGGTGGCCAGCGTGTTCGGCTGGACCGGTAACATGGAGCGTCTGGCCATGTCGAACGCCCATCAGAAGGCCGATGATCCACAGCGTAGCTACTACCTCAACCAGAAGAAAACGTTAGAAATTAATCCCAGACATCCCCTGATGCGCGAACTGTTGCGTCGCGTCGAAGCCGATGAGGCTGATCAAACGGCCAAGGATATGGCAGTCATGATGTTCCGCACCGCCACTCTGCGCTCAGGCTACATGCTGCAGGAGACGTCGAACTTTGCGGACAGCATTGAGCGTATGATGCGCCAAACTCTGGGCGTGCCCCTGGACGAGCAAATTGAGATCGATGAGGATGACACTGATGATACTGATGAGGTGACGGATAGCAACGATAGCAGCAACACTGTCGATGAGGACGACGAGGAGCAGCAGCATGATGAGCTGTAAGACACCAGAGGTCAATCATCCCATAAGTCCATACCATAACATCCCACATGCAAAATATATATATGTATATGAATTGTGTAAATATGCGATTGTGGAAGACAGACTGAGTACATACCCTACGCATGTGCGCAGGTGATACACTACCGTTGCATCAACAGTACATCAACTTAGATACTTCTTTAGATTTAAGAATAAAAAATCTTGCTCTCTCATTGTTGTATTGCTCAAAAGAAGCGAAAATTTATTATTATGTGCAAACAAACGAGAGATATAAATGAATGAAATGCGTAACAGAGATTCCAAAACAAATCTAAATACAATGGATATAACTTATATATAAATAGATAATAAATACTATTTGTAGGCTGATCCATCAGTCATCCAAAAACGATTTAATCGGCTCATTGTTTACGGCTTTTAGATAGGTGTCGTACTTAAGTTGATCTGCAATCTGATGCACTGCCTCCTGCTGCGTTAGCTTGAACTTGTCCATAAAAAGACGAACTATCCATAGTGGCAGTAAACCATTTATAATCAGCGAACCATGCGGCTGCATGGAGAGGAAATTGAAATTTCAGGAAATACCTATGTAATTCTGCATTATATCGACTTACGCCCGATTTGTTATATACTTCGGCCAGTTTCTTCATCATGCTGTCGCGTATCGTTTTATTTAAAATATCCATGATGTGATAGTGATCGATGCTCATGTAGTTAGTTGTTTGATACTTATGCTGTCGCTCCTTGAACAGGCGATCGAAATCTGTTCGATATGTCTCGAATGTGCTCAACACAGATGCCTCATCCATATCCTGCAGCAGACTGCAAACAAATTTCGAATATGTGTTTTAATGCATGCCCATACAAATGAGCGGCATCTATAAGAAACCGAAGCTATTTAGGACTAAAGCAATACTATAGTTAACCCATCTATTAAGACCGATCATTCGGCCTTCGCTTTGCACAATACTACATCTATACAAGAGACTGTTTTTAGAACTAATGCTCCAAATAGCTGGGCTACAGATACAAATTCACAGAGAAACAAACAGAATATGCAGACAAATATTAACTTTCTTTCTTATGTATTCTACATACATATAAAAGTCTTACAGAATTTTAACTTCCCGCGGTTTGGGTACTTTAAGCATGTCATTAAGTTCCTTCAGCGCAGCATTATTAATTTTAGATCCACCGAGCTGATCAAGGCTCCACTTTTGGGCGTCAGTTTCTTGCTCTGTTTGTTTCTTTTGGTCGCCAACTGGCTTACTGCTTGACCCCTTGTCCGAGCCGGAGTCGGTGAACTTATCAGTTAGTTTTTGTTTTGGTTTGCGTGTTGATTTAACGCTATAAAAGAGAGTATCATTAAATATATGCAAAAATAGTCTATCAACGTTGTAAGTGTCGTACCTCATAACAAATTCATTATAACGATTTGGTATCACAGGAGAGCGGGCAGAACGACGTCCAGTCTTCGGCTCCACGGAGGTTGAACTGCCAATTGGTCAAAAGATATTATATTGAATATATGTATATAAAAGTTATTTGCTATTATACCGAGAAGGTGGAGTTTTGCTGCGCTTTACTGCGCGACTCTGAGACGCAATCTGTTGGCTTTTTGTGGTTGACGTCACGTACTTGTTCTGCCTCTGATTACCCTGTGAAATGGATCGACGACCACGTTTTTTCTCCGACTTTGACAAATCTCTACGTTTTGGTTTTTGCTCTGCATTACTCGTCTGCGACTGCTCGGAATTACTGAAGAAAATGTTATATGTTAAATTGCGTTAAAATGCTATAGCTTCACATGGTAATCTTCACCTGCTCTTAGATGCTGTATTCTGTTTGTTCGAGCCAACCGTGTTTACATCCACTGCTGCTTCCTTCGGCTTCTGGACTAGCTTGCGTTTTGTTGCCTTGGGACTAACGATTGTTTGGTCCTCGTGTGACATATAGTGCAATACAATTTCCACACCTAAATCACACTTTACCTTATCTTGCAGTAGTTGCTGTGCCGCCAGCAGCGATTCCTTCGATGCGCTCACATTTACTTTGATGTGGTCTATGAGCATCTGGGTGTTTACTTTGGGCGCATCTTCCTGCCAGTTGTCGATGCTGGCAAACAGGCGAAAAAGCCCGCTTTCTATTTTACTCCAACGAGCAGCCGTCATCCAGTTGAAATCATTTTCCGGTTCCTTTTCAAATAAACTCACAGTATCCGGTAGTATTTTGATGATACACAATATTCGGTGCGATGCATACTGCATGATAACAGATTCAATTTAATGCAGAAGGTTTTAGTGCTTAAAACTTACCATATATTGTTGAAGAACAACGCGATATACGCCAACACTTGAAAATGACATAGTTATTCACGACTGCATTAATTCAAACTGCAACAAAAAATGGAATACTATTTGATGTGTACAGGGTTGCCACATCGATATTGGCGGCAATTTTCAAGCAGAATAGTTGAGCAAAATTTGATCGAGCTACCATATATTTGCATGAAATCGATATTGCAAGAAGAATTAATTAATTAAAAATGATTTATCAAATTATTTGAATTATTAAACAAAATCATGTCATAAAACATTGCAAGTAAATGAAAATTGTGTGACGAGGCTTATTGGCATTTTTCCAACCAGGAAACAGCATACCTTTTTTAATCGTTACCTGAGACTTATCGGGTCTATCGATGAAAAAAGTCAGTTCGGTGTTGGTACTATAAATTTGATTAGATCAGTGGCGCGCACTTGATTTTGAAACGGACGCAGCATTAAATTGGCTAATGAGAGAATATACAACATACGTTATCTGCCACGCTTAGAATAGGTCATGTTTTCGATTTAACAACATAATGAATTCGTTATCAGCACACCAACGTACGCGGATAATACCAGCGTGAGCTAATGCTAGCAAATTTGTGAGTTCCGCCGGGCCACACAGTTTGAAACTAGATTCTGAATGAATTAGACGCGCAAAAAGTTCCCTCTCGAGAGCGCGTAATTATTTTCATTAGTTCAAATCCATCAATCAAAACTGTATTGTATAGATTAGACATTTGTATTTATGAAAGGGTAAACGCGCAGTTGAAAAGGAAAATGATTGAGATTAAAATACATTCATTGATATGCGCTGTTGCCTTAACGGTCAGCGTTTTATTCGCTACTTGCGTAGCGAAGCCCGCAGCAGAGACAAAACCCAAGATTGATGACGCCACAATTGATAACACTATTCAAGCGAATCCCAATATTGAATACTTGAGGGCCTATGCGACTCAAATGCTCAGCTATATGAATCGCAGCGTGGCGCCTTGTGATGATTTTTACGAGTACGCATGTGGCAACTGGAAGAATGTTAAGCAAGAGCGACAATCCCAGCACAAGCGCAGCAATCTTCTGGACATTGTTTACACGCTGGCCGATGTAGCCGAGGAGCTTCTGTTGGCGAACACAACGCTGGCCGACGATCTTGGCTATGGGGCTGAGCTGAGGATTACACAACAATTCTATAACGCATGCCTTAACGCTGAGCTGTATCCGCTGCCAGCGGCCGACCCCGCTTATCTGGCGCTTATCAAGTCTGTTGGTGGCTTTCCCGCAGTCGAGGGCGAAGCTTGGCTGGCTTCGAATTTCAGCTGGTTCAACATGAGCTCCCACTTGACCAACTATGGCTCCCAAGGACTCATCTATGAAAAGAACCTGCAGCAATATCCGTTCATGCCATACTTCAAGCTGCCAGAGTTGGGCTTCGACTACATTGTGCACAGCGACAACATCGCCACCAATGACACCAAAGGGTACAAGCTCAATGAGAAGCGCATGCGAGGCTATTTGGAGGCTTACGGCCTGCCCGAAGAGAAGATAGTCGAGGTCATTGCCGGAATTTTCGCCTTCTGGCGCGAAGTTCTGAAGATCGCAGATCGCTTCGAGGAGGATTCGGATAAGTGTGATCTGCTGACAGATGAGTTTGTCACAGAGCCTTTTCCGCTATGGAAGCAATACTATGAGATTTCATGGAATAACCTAAGTTTTGACCCGTATCCAGCTGAGCGCTACTGTGACTTTTTCTACTACGAGCTGGACAAGGTGTGCGCTAAGCACAAAGCGGCCGCAGCCAACTATATGGCCATGAAATTACTTTACACCATGGATGCCAAATTGAAGGCTGCCAAATATCAACGTGATCATTGTATACTCAACATCCAATACTCGATGCCCTATTTACTGGACAAGCTTTACTTTGTGGTTCGTATTTGCCTCAGTTTCACTGTATTCCATCTAATAGCTTTCCTGTTTGCTTAGAAATATTTCACGGAGGAGGCAAGTGCCGAGGTTGCCAACATCATTTCGGAGCTGCGCAAGAGTCATCTCACGTTGTTGGATAATGCCAATTGGTTGGACGCGGAGACGCGCAAGGAAGCTCTGCTGAAGGAGTCAACAATTGTGACTCGCATTGGTGCATTCCAGGATAAAAATCTTTCGGAGAGTCTGATCCGTGCAATAAATAATCTGACCGTTAAGCCCGATAACTTTCCGGAAAATAATATAAATCTGAAGCGCTTTAGCACCTATATGAAGCGCTATCTTGGCATACACCATAAGACCCTGACGAGTGACACGAAACCGTTGGAACTGCTGGTGGGCATGCAGGTGAATGCTTTCTATTACAATTTGGACAACTCAATCAATGTTATGGCCGGCATACTCCATCCGCCGAGCTACGATCAAGCGTGGCCCAACTCACTGAAGTTTGGAACCATTGGCTACCTGGTGGGCCACGAGTTAACCCATGGCTTTGACACTATTGGGGCCACCTACGATAGCAATGGTACAGCACGCTATTGGTGGTCGAAAAAGTCAGGCGAGGTCTTCAACGAGCGTTCCATGTGCTTTGTGGATCATTTCAATAATTATCTTATACCGGAAATCAATCGGAACATTAATGGCAATCAGACAAAGGACGAGAGTATCGCAGACAGTGGAGGTCTGCGTGAATCAATGAGTGCATATCGCAATCACATGAAACAGCTGCAACTGAATGGCGAGAATAATGCCTCGTATGTGGATCGCGATGAGCAGATGCCTGGCCTGGATCTGTCGCCGGAGCAATTGTTTTTCCTTGGCTTTGCGCAGCTTTGGTGTGCCGACTACGAGGAGAAGCACTATTGGGAGGAGCTAACCAACGAGCATCCCATGGACAAGTATAGGGTGCTCGGTGCCGTCACCAATAACGAGGACTTTGCGCAAGCATACCATTGCGAGCGTGGCAGTCCAATGCATCCGATAACGGACAAATGCCGCGTCTGGTAACGACGTAATTCGGAGCTGATAAGCATGAGGAATCCATGAAATAATTAAGACGTGTTTGTTTCATATAAATGTAAACACAAGGCATGCCACATAAAATCGTTTTTGTTGATTATATTTATTCGTATTCTGCGGTTTAGTGTTGCACGGGCTCTGATGATTTAAAGGCATTCGGCCCGTTGTAGTTCTCGATTAGCAGCGATTTATAGCGACGCAAACTCACACTGAGTCCGTCGTCACGCTCTCCGGCGGAGAGTATGATAACGCGTGCGATAACCAAATGAGAGGGGTTCGTCTGACTGAAGCCGCGTATTACATCAATCTCGTCGCCAACCTCGAGCTGAAGATAGAATTTATAATTACATGATATGACAAATGTTTTTGCTATTGATGATCTTAAGTCACCTGCTCGCTCTTTTTCATCAACTTCTTTCCATTGACGCGGATTTTGCTCTCATAGAATTTTTGTTCCACTTTGCTGTAAATATTGGATTCCTTACATTGAGCGCAATTTGTTGTATGAGATACTTACTTTCTGGCCATGCCTAGTCCGGATTTTAGTAGTAAATCTGCACGCAATGAGTTCACTTTGGCTTTAACTACTTTAGAATCACGTTCGTCTTTAAATTCATCATCGTCTTCATCATCTGAGTCAATGTCGTCCGACTTTCGTGATGATTTCTTGTCATATTTATACGAAACTGAACTTGTGTGCAACGATGCTTGTTTGACCACTCTCAGGGCTCCCGTTGCTGTTGTGGCATTGGTTACATTAAAAAGCGGAGGAGTTAAACATTTCCGTACTCGTACTATTTGCCGTATGCTTCGCAGCATTTTTATGCGGCCTTTTAAAATTACGATAACAATAAAATAGTATATAAACGATACATAACCTAAAATTCAACAGCTGTTTTAGCTGTTGGCGTTGCCAGCCTTCAGTTAGTTTTGTTTTGTGGCGGTTGGTTTTTTTGCTTTTTGTTTTTGTTCCGTTTCTTTTTGGGTTTCTTGTTTGGATTCGCACAGATTTGATGCTGAGTTAACGGCTGATAATTTGTCAGTTCAGCAGGCAGAAATTCATCGTCATCAACTGGTTCAGTTGTATCTACTTCCATTGGCTCATTAGCTGGCGATGTAATTATTTCATCGTCTTTTTCTTGTTTCGTTGTTTTGACTTCTGGCATTTCTGCTTTGCTTGCAGCTTTTTTGCCAAGCTTGCTAAGCGCTATGCTTAACTGTTCCGCCTCGGTTTGCGCATCCAATTGGCTAATCCTTAATGCGACTCCATCACTTGCACACGATATGTAGTCACCACTCCATCCTTTTTCATCTGTTGGAGCTGCCTTTACCACTTGAGCTTCAGTTTCTGTATTTATAAGGACTTGTTCTATAGGCTTGCGTTTCTTTTCAGTTTTTCTTGGGGTAGGCTTTAAGATTTTTTTGACCACAGATTTTCTTCGGTCTTCCACCCATTTGGCCAATTTCGAGCTTATTCTATTTAAGTCTATCGGCAACACTAGCGCTAGCGCTCGTATTCCAAATATCTCATATGTGAGATCCTCTAATTTGGGTTGCGCATAGATGGGAGCTGTTGGAGCTTTGACACTAGCTGTAGTTGCAATGAGACGCACGAGGTGGGAAGGCCTTAAACTGAGAGAAATGAAAACGCAGGAGAACCGCCGCCCATTAATAGCCCGTAGGGAGCTTTCCAAGCCGAGGTGTATTTGATGTTGGGTCACAAATTTTTGTTGTGTTTGCTCACTTTCATTTATAGAAGTTTTTAATATGTGTTGCAGTTCCAGCAACTCGCTTTCGGGCAGCACGGGACTGAAACGCATTATTTAGCTTAGTTTGGTGACTTTGAATGTAAAATTACATTTGCCTTACCTGTGCTGTTTATATGGATTAGCCAATAGAGCGCGCAGCTTGGGCAGCACATTCTTCTTAGCTTTGCCTTCTTTCTGTTTAATTTCTGTCAAACTCATTGCAATTCAAACTGAATAGAAATATGTTTGGTCCACGCGAGTCGCATTTATATAAATGTACTAAATTTGACGAAAAAATACTGCGCTTATCGATAAAGTTCTCAAAAATAGTGCTGTAAAGTAATAAAATATTTGTGATCAGCTGTTTCCCACACGTGCCGCTGTGTTTATAAATTTATTGAAATAACAATGAAGCCAAAACCGCAAAAAAATCAGGGAAAATCTAATAAAAAGCCTGCAAGGGCAGGTCAAAAACAGAAGCCCAACTTTAAGCAAAAGCAACAGAAATCGGTATGTAAAAAAATCACCGTATAGCAACAAATTGGAAAGGCGTATACAATTTGCATTGTTTATTAGGACAGCAAACCAAATAAGCCTGAAATACGAAATATGATACGGAAACAAAAGGCTGCTGCGGCACAAGCGGAACGTGAGAAGATCAAGGCTGAAAAGGAGGCACGCATAAAGGCGTACAAAAAACAGCGTCTGGAGAAGACCAAAATTATCAGCAAGCGCACACAGCGTGGCCAGCCACTGATGAAGGATCGTATGCAGTTGCTGCTGAAGCAAATCGAGGAAATGAAGGGGCGCCAATGATAAGGGCACTCAGGTAACTCAATCACAACAGCGAAATAGCTTTTTGTATCGCGGAACAAGCGCAACATTTTAAAGTTTCCGCGCACGCTTCAAATTAAATTTAATGCAACCTGCAATAAATTTTCACTCCCTTCGCTTCCGGCCGTACGCAACCCTTTGATTACGTACTTCTTCCAGCTGCCAGAATATAGCATATATACATATAACACACTCATATGCAAATTTTCTGCTCGGCAAATTGGTTTTTGGCAAAACATTTTTAACGCCTTATCAACTGGCATTTGCATCCTGTCGCCGTGCCAACCCCATTTGATAAGCGCGTGGGCGCTTTCCCTCAACTAATTCCCACTTGAATTCAATAGGAAGGTCGACAAACAAAGCAATTTGTTGCCATCCATGCATCTATTGAATTTTTGACTTTCTACTGTTTGCCGTTGCTGATGCTGTTCCTGCTGCTGCTGCTGCTGCTTCTGTCTGATATATTTTACATAATAATAAAAATAAATTTTTACGCGCATGTCTCGCTATCAATGTGGGATTGTTGCTGCTTTATACCTATTGTAGTTTTGAGTAGGGAATTTTGATCTGAGAGCTCTGACAGAGGAAATTTTGGATAGCACACATATGTTTATAATGATTTTTGAATATATTAACAAATTTGTAGTAATTGGTTAATAAGAGAAGGATAGAACTATTGGGTATAGTAGAAAATATTGTGAATATTAGCTATATATATGTAAAAGAAAAACACCTCTCTTGAAAAACATCTCTCTATAGAGCTCTGAAGAGGAAATACATTTATGGTAAGGGTATTCAGTTTTTGGGTAAGCATACATATGTGGCAAAATCGTTTGTATATATCTATCAGACATTGTACGTTTGTATGCATCTATAAGTTTAGTGTAGGTGTACCTCACTTGAGACGACTCTAGAAATATTATCTCATGTACAGCGCATAGGGTATCTCCAAGTCAGATGCCTTCAATTCGCTTTATTTTTTGTTTGTTTTTAAGTTTCGCATTTGTTGTTAAGTGCGTGAAAATTCAAATAATCGTTCAACATGGCAATAAATGCCCTTTCCCTTTTCCATGGGCCTCCGTTAACCTAAGCCACCCGCCTGGACTGTTTGTCCTGCCTGTCCTGCCCTGGCTTGGCGCTGGGACTATAACAACCAGCATGTGGTCTCATATCCGCCTTTGGGCAAAGCAAACAGAAACGTATTTCCCACTCTTGGCACATTGGATATTGCAAAACTATTGCGTTAACCCTTTGCGCGACATCAGGGCTCAGCGTTGACACGAAAATCGCACTAAATCAAAAATTATACTTTATACAAATAAAAAGAAGGAAAAAAAAGACCGCCGCTCTCTCTCACTCTCTCTGTACCGCCGGAAGCTTCGCGCTAGCCCCTGTGGCCATAAATCTCATATAGTCAAATATTGAATTACGCAGGATGCAGCACCAGAAGAAAGGGTTCTCATGTATTACATACATATATACATATATTCAATTTTGTGGGTCAAAAGGATGCTCGTGCATGTGTGTGCCTCACTCTCTCTGCCTGGACGCCCAACCCTCCCCTCTTCTGCGTGACATTTTGCCAGGGTTCGCTTTGTCTCGTTTATTTAATATAAAATCTGAAGTTATGAGCACTTCGACAGGGGCCGTAACATCGTTTATATCTCGATAATGAATAGTTATGTCTATTTAACGCAAGCCGAGCCGAACGCCGAGGGGCGAAGCCGCATCAATGCCTGATTCCACGAATTTGAGCACTTAAAATCTTTTATTTACGTCGCTTATAATGCAATTTATGCATGTTTATATTAGTCTATATTATATGAATGGACATACCGTATGTTTGCTCAATGAGTCAAAACACGTTTTGCTGTTCGATTTTTTCTATCTTTTTCGGGGGTCAAAATTCATTGCAAACTGATAAGAGATCCCTAAAGGCCACTAGACACTTTCGCATTTTCTAAGAACCTCGCATTGCTGTATAGGAAATAATCTTCGAATTGGCTTCAGACTGTGAACTAATTGTTTAATCATTTTGAATATTAAAAATCAAATTATTCATGGCACACATGGGTTGCCTTATACATTCTTGTTGCCTTGATGCGCGATGCGAAACTTAATTGCCCACAATTAACATTAGCCTCAATAATAATCAAAATAAATTATATATTTTTATGAAATTTCTTTTCCTTAATTAAATGATTTTATCAAATTCTCTTTCCCTTTACAGATATCCCATCAAGCTTAATATTTTTGAAATATCCATATGTATACAAATAAGTAATATATAAATTAGTGGTTTTCAAATAATATAAATTTTGTAATAGATAATAATAAAGTATGTAAATAAGTATAATTATATTGATGACTAATATTTCTAGCTTCGAATCGTACAGATAAGCAAAAGTTTCAATAGTAATTTGTAATGAAGAAAAGTTAATTATATAATATATGGTTTTCTTTATTTCTTGTAGATTTTTACAATAGTCCATGTTCAGCTGATAATAACTTTCTTAGTCTTATCAATCATTGGGCTTGGGATGTAAGAATATAAAGTGGTCCCTCGGTCAATGAACACATTTCGTTCCAGCATCTTGTTAGATAAGCGAAAATGTTGCATCAACTATATTGCATGTAAATATGCCTACATAATGCTAGAACGGTCAATGGTTTCTCCTACTTCATTGTTTAAGTATTTATTAATATTATCATCGTTCACCCACGGTCCACTGTATATGTAAACTGTGTCAAGTCTAAATTCGAACATCTCCTACTTATATATGTACATAGGTATATAAAGATTCTAGAGTTATTTCACACATTATTTTCGCTTTTAATGCAATTTAAGCATGATAGTATAGATTCTAAAATGTCATTAGAAGATTTCACAACGTATTTAAGAATATCAATGCGATGCATAAGAAACAGTCTTCGAAGGCATTTCAACTAATCTAAACTAATATTCAAAATGAAATTCGGGCTCAGGTTAGCTGGTATTTCGCTTGTTGTCGTCGCCTTAAGCATCAGGGACAATTTGGCAGCGCCGCTTCCATTTCTTAATCTTCACCTTCCATTGTTTACACTCGATGTTGGCGGTATAAGTAAGCTATAATATTTCTGAAGTATTTTCAATATGTTTAGCTTACATTAAATTGTTCCTTCCAGATATTAAGCGTGGCTAAACTTGGGACTGTCAATAGATTAGATATAGAGAATTTTTTAAATCCATCATTTGTAAAACAATGAAGAGTGTTGGATTCCAAAAAACGATTATATTTCCTTAAAATATTCTCTTTTATGGCGTCTACCAAATCTAGTATACGCTGAATTTTCATTTGGATCATTTAGGTTATGAGCCCTTTAAAAGGTTCCATGACATCGTTAATCAGTCGGTAATGAATACGTATTGCTATTTAAATGAAGTTCAGGGTAATACTGAGTTACGAACAAACTTAAATAGTAATTTTGCACACATTTATAATGCAATTAAAGCATGGGAATAGTTTATAAAAAGATTAGACAATTTCACAACGTATTTAAGTACATCGTTTCGCTGCATAAGAAATAGTCTTTTTAAGTTATTTGAAGCTGCCACAATTCCAGCTCTTAACAAATAATGAAAATGAAATTCTTCAAGATGGAATCTCATTTTCTTGTATTCCTCGTTTTATACAATGTTGATGTACCGGTGATGAATCAACGCTTCCTAGACATAAACGCACCAATCGCAACAATCAACAATGGTGGCATACGTAAGTAATCAATCATTCATCGCAAATAACTTTCATAGGCTTCTTTAAATATCTGTTTTCATTGCAGACATAGGCTAGGCTTGAAATTGTAAATAAGTGAGATGCTTGCCGATTGTATAAAATGAAGCTTCTATAAGTAAATGAAGATATTGCGAGGCTTGCTCTTTTTTCATTGTCTATTAAAAAATCTTTATACCAACGTTAATTAGTCGGTAATGAATACTTATTGCTATTTAACTAAAGTCCTTAAATAGTTATTCTTACACACTTGTAATGCAATTAAAGCGTGAGAACAGTTTATAGAACCTGACGATTTTACAACGTATTTAAGTATGTCGCTTCGCTGCATAAGAAATAGTCTTTCGAACGATTTGAAACTGCGACAATTTGAGTTCTTAACTAATATTTAAAATGAAATTCTTCAAATTGGTATCTCATTTTCTTATATTCCTCGTTTTTTGCAACGTTGATGGATTGGAGGAGAATCAGCCGAATCAACGGTTTTTAAATTTAAACGTGCCAGTCCTAACAGTCAACAATGGTGGTCTATGTAAGCTATCATTCATAGCAAATAATAAATTTCTACACTTAATTTTTTTTTCTTTGCAGACTTAGGCTAAGGCTAAGCATGAGATTGTAATTAAATTAGATGCATGGAATTGTATAAAACCAAGTGTCTACAAAGTAATAAAGAATTTGCGATGTAACATTCTGTCATGATATGTTCTTTTTTATTGTAAAAAAAAAAAAACAGCTTTTCATCAAAGACCGTAACATCGTTTATCAGTCGATAATGAATACCTATTGCTATTTAACTGAAGTCCAGGGGAATACTGAATGCAAACCAGCTCAATTTCCACACATTTTTTTACTATGCAAGTTATATATGATAATTAGGCAATTAGACGATTTCACAACGCATTTAAGACGATCGCTTCGCTGCATAAGAAACAGTTACTCGAGAGATTTCGAACGGTACAATTTCAGCTCCCAACCGATATTCAAAATGAAGTTCTTCATGTTGGCATATCATTTTGTTGTATTTCTTACTTTACGCAAGGTTAATGTATTAGCAGAGCAAAATCGCTATTTAAGGATAAATGTACTAAACGCAACAATCCACAATGGTGGCATACGTAAGCTATGATTCATTGAAATAATTTTCATAGTTTTCTTTTATATATTTTATTTTTTTGTTGCAGACTTCGCTTGATTGCGATTGTAAATAAATTAGATGCTTTCCGATTGTATAAATGAAGCTTCTATAAATAAATGAAGACAGTGCAATGTCAAATTTTGTGAAACTTGCTTTTTTTCCATTGTCTATACAAAATCTGGAGCTATGAGCCGTAACACCGTTTATCAGTTTATATATATAATGAATACTTATTGCTATTTAACAAGGGTCCATGAGAGAAGAAACAGCTCTAATATATATTTTCACACATTTAAGCATAATAATTAGGTAATAAGACAACTTCTTAACTTAACGCATTGAATAAGAAACAGTCTCTTAAGCGACTTCAAATGGTGACGACTTCGGCTCCCAGCTAATATCCAAAATGAAATTCTTCAAGTTGAAACCCCATTTTCTTATATTCCTTGCTTTACGCAACACTGAAGAAGTAGAGGGGCAATCTCGCTTTTTAGATTTAGCCGTGCCCTTCTTTACAATCAACGTCGGTGGTATAAGTAAGTTATAAAGATAAAGATAATTTACATAGATTTTCTTTCATAAATAGTGTTTCTTGCAGACGTAGGATAAACTAATAAGTGGAATTGGAATTGTAATAAAACTAAGCTTTGATAATAAAATATATAATTTTTCTATGTAGCATGACAGGGCGTGTTTTTTCTTATTATTTATTAAGGAATCTTGAATGAAGAGTTTCACAACAATGTCCGTAATATCGCAAATCGAGGGGAATACTGAGAGGCGAAAAATCGTTAATAGGTTTCTTTTCGCCTATAATAGAATTTATATATGCTAATTAAGTAATTGGACAATTTCACAACGTATTCAAGAATATCGCTTCGATGCATAAGAAATAGTCTCTCAAGCGATTTCAAATTGTGACAACGTCAGCTCTTAACTGATATTAAAATGAAATTCTTCAAGTCACAATCTTCATTGCTTCTCTTGTTTGTTTTATGCATCGGTGATGTTTCACCAAAGCCGCGTCCCTTCTTAGATCTCAGGTTTCCAGTCTTCTCAGTAGACGTTGGTGGTATAAGTAAGTTATAATTGATTATAAATAATGTTTATGTTTTTCTTACATTTAGTTTTTCCTTGCAGGATTCACCTGAAAAAACCAAGCTCCATCTTCTCAATAAATTAGATTTATGGAATTTTTTGAAATCAAGTTTTTATAATTAGTTTTATTTTTTGTATAAAATTATATTCTAGGCTCCGCAACATTACCCGTAATATCGTTCATAATTCGTTAATGGATAGTTATTCACTTTAACGACAAGTCGAGGGGAATACTGAGAGGCGAAACAGCCATAATAGTTAATTTTTCGCTTATAATACTTTTTCTGTATGCTCATCAAGTAATTAGACAAATTCACAAGTTATGAAGCAACAACAATTTCAGCTCTCAGCTAATTTTCGAAATAAAATTTTTGATTTATGTGCCAGTGTTTACTATGGGACTCGGACTATTTTTCTTTCTATTTATTCAAAATCTTGAGCTAAAACAGAAGGCGCAACATCACTAATGTATTGATATTGAAGAGTTATATATATACTATACGTATACTATACGAAAGCCTAGTGTTTGTGCTATCGTATTTGATGTTAGTCTTCGCATTGAAAAAACCCACTGGCTCTCACATTGGGTTTTTTGTAAACTTTTTGCCTTGGGGAATTACTTTCGCTTTCTTGATATTGCTTGCTGAACGTTAATGCCAAGCTGATAACAGAGCTCGGTTTCCTATTAATTAAAAATTATTTAAGAATCTCGCACTGTTTATTAATTGAATGTCTTCCACGTGAACTCAAACTGTGACAGTTTCATCTGCCAGCAAACTCTGTATATATTTGTTAAACCATCCTAACCTATACTCGATATGAAATACTTCAAATTTCAGTGGCTTTTTATTGCTGTAATATTTTTGTGCCTCAGCGATGTTTTGGCAGCGCCAAAGCGCAAAGCCAAGCCCCGCTTCAAACTGCCAAAAATAAATATTAATATACATCACAATAGTAAGTTATAATAATGAAGCAAAATATTTATTGAACAAATTTTCAAATAATTTTCTTGGCCATTGCAGATATTCACATTGGCTAAGCTGCAGTTTATTTTTTTTTTTATTTATGTATTATTATTTATTCAATTGTATGTATTTAAATAAAGTTGTTATGTGTATATAATTAATTACTCAATTTGAAATTTTTAGAGAACGTGAGCTGCTTGTTTCCTTCAACGCTTCAAAGCTCGCAAACTCTGCAATGCTAAATCCGCGCTGATAATAAGATTCGGAAGGGTCATCACAATTAAATTTTGATATACATATTAATATACATATATACGTACATATATATATATTTATATTTGATCTGTTTAAGAATGCCGCATTGCTGAATGAGAAGCAGTCGCTCTTGTGAATTCAAACTGAGACAACTTCGAAATGAAATACTTTCAGTTTAAGTGGATTTTTATTTTTGTGATAATCTTATGTCTCGGTGAAATTTTGGCCGTACCACCGCGCAGAAGACCGCGTCCACGGCCGAATCTACGGCGAAGGCCACCGCCAAGGCTACGGCAAAGGCAAAGGCAACAGCAAAGGCAACAGCAAATTATTGTTGTTAACGCTAATCCTGTTACCAGTAAGTTATAATCAAGAAATTATAAAAACATGATATATAATAAATTTGTTTTTTTGTTTTGCTAGCTGCACATCTTCACATAGATAAAGAATCCATAAAAGGTTAATTTTTTAATACCTATTAGTTGATATTATTTGATGGAATTAAGATTAAATTAAATAATATTCAATATGTGTTTATATGTAATAATAAAGAAATACATTTCAAAAGAACATGAACTGAGCTGCTTGTTTCCTTCAAAACATTCTTGCAAAATCTTCAATACTAAATCGACGCTGATAGTAAAAGTTTGAAAAGGTCATCGAGTTCATTTTCCATTGATATATATGTATATATGATTTGCAGTTATTTAAGAATGCCGCATTGCTGAATTAGAAGCAGTCGCTCTTGTGCACTCAAATTGAGACAACTTCGAAATGAAATACTTTCAGTTTAAGTGGATTTTTATTTTTGTGATAATCTTATGTCTCGGTGAAATTTTGGCCGTACCACCGCGCAGAAGACCGCGTCCACGGCCGAATCTACGGCGAAGGCCACCGCCAAGGCTACGGCAAAGGCAAAGGCAAAGGCAAGAGCCAATTATTATTGTTAACTCTTCTCCGGTTACCAGTAAGTTATAATGAAGAAATTATTATAATATGATATATAATAATTTTTGTTTTTTTTTTGTTTTGCTAGATGCAGTCGTTCACGTACATGAAAAAAAAATAAAAAATTTATTTTTTAATACCTATTAGTTGATTTCATTTGATGGAATTAAGTTTTAATTAAATAATATTCTATTTGTGTTTATATGTAATAATAAAGAAATACATTTCAAAAGGAGAACATGAACTGAAAACATTCTTGCAAAATCTTTAATACTAAATCGACGCTGATAGTAGAGGTTCGAAAAGGTCATCGAGTTCATTTTCTATTGATATATATACGATTTGCAGTTATTTAAGAATGCCGCATCGCTGAATTAGAAATAGTCTTGTGAATTTAAACTGTGAAATGAAATAGTTTCAGACTCAGTGGCTTTCTGTAATCATTCACGACCGCAAGAGTTTATATCTCCTACAATTTTAAGAGCTAGAAGCCTCAAATTATAATCTATGAATAGTTGAGTTTTTGGCAACCTCCCATCCGAATGGCCCCAAAATAATCGTTACACCTCTTTAGGGGAGTGGCATATCGAAAAATACTCTGGAATTTTCACATTTTTTTTAGCGTGAGCACTGAAATATTGCAGTTAGGTTTAGGAACTGGCCAAAAATGTAGAGACCTCATTTTTGGTCAGTTTTTAGAAAGTCACTAAAAAAAATCCATGCACATGGCCCGAAGCACCAACCCTCGTAATATGAATATATGTTCATATGCTGAAATGAAGAAAGAATTAATATATACTATATTATAATTTTGTTGTTCTTTTCAGATCTTAAAGAAATAAAAATGAGCTGCAGCAGTTTATTTCTAATGTGGAATATATTTAAATAATATAATATTCACTTAGTGTTTAAAAAATACTCGAGTTGAGCTCCTTAATTTGATTTGGCATTAATTTTTTTTATTCGACCGACATGAAAATGTTCTTTTTTGTTAAACCGAGCTGTTCGCAGGCTGTGAAAGAGTTGTTAAATTTTAGATAATTAAATAAAAGTTAACTACACAGCCAAGAGAACATAGAGAAGACTCGTTGTATGTAGTCAAATATTATTTCGATTTCTGTCAACACATTGGCTCGCCTACACCTTCACTTCGCTTGCAAGAATATTAACATATTCTAATTAACATATTATATATGCTAGATTTCTGACTGACTTGCTTAATGAACATAAAGTCAATGAGCCCAAATATTTGTTGCCTCTAGTTATGCCCGGCCCTCAGCCCCGGCCATTCACTGAATCGTATGCATATTTTACAGAATCTTACTTTTCGAATCTTGCTAACGACTTGGCAGGCTAATTAAATTCCTCCAATAGCAAACACCAATAAACAAGCAGAGAGTTTCGTTTTCATTTTCGTACCCAATTTCGAGGAGCGAAAGCGCCGTGCAGATTCAGCCAAAACTGAAGAGAGTATTATAGATGGAGATTCCGAACCCGAATTAACACCCAAGGCAGAGAATTTTCGCTTTCGCCGAACCGTGAAATGTTTTTCCAACAATTTGGCAAAACTTTTGCCCTGGCGTTCACATAAATCTACGACAGGGTTTTCCATGGGTTTTCATCAAACGAACTGAGCATATTGGTTTGAGAATCAAAATGTTAAATATATAAATATATAAAAATATGTAATCATCTGCAGCTTAGATTTCAAATAACTCTAGAAGGATATATCTTCTTCACTTCTTGAATTTTAAGCCTTAGTCAACATCTCTTAAATGCTCTTGGGCCTTAAAACTTGGGAAGCTGATTCACTTTGATGTTATATACAAAAATGATATACCTACATTCACTACCTACATTCTTTCACAGTTCGGCTTTCCTAGCAGTAGAATTGTATCCCCAGTAGACCGCATCTACTTATAGACCTATGGAAATATACTTGAACAAATTTTATATTCAGCTTTTGCCCATGAGCAGGTATTACCAAGTCAGTTACGCTCGACGGCCATTGGCTCTCTTTTTTGTTTTTTGTTCTCTTGGGTAAGGGTAAAGCCTCTTATCTGGCTAAAATATTAACGGTTTAAGCTTAATTACAAATGGCGACGATGCTGGCTCACAAATTAACTGCTGGTCGCAACTGTACCCGGGGGTTGAAAGTGGGCGGAGATTGGCTTGGGCGCCAGCTAGCCAGCCGGCCAACCAGCCAACTCAGCGAGCCATTAGGGTAATTATTTACAACAATTCCAAATTTTACACATGAACACACAGAATTACACTTACAAAAAAAAAAAAAGAGCAACAACAAAATGTTTTTGCATGCGACATAAATAACAAAAGTGCGGCACGTAAATCATGGCTGACACTGTGGGCGTGCCACGCCCATCGTTGTTACCAACAATTTGCAACACTCTTTTTGGCGAGCACGTGACCATGGCCTACGACCGGCTGGCCGTACCGCCCCACCCCGCCCTCGAACGGGTGGAATGTGCGCATAAATTTCAATTAAAATCGAAAACCCATGAAAAATAAAATGCTCCAGGCAGTGGAAAAATCAGGCAATACAGATGAACATGTTTCGGTTAGTTGGAGCAGTCAGCTTTCAGTTTTAGGTTTTCCATTTTCAATTTTTCGCTTTTAGTTTTCAGTTTTCAGTTTTAATTGTGCGCCGTAGCAGGTGCCGGCAGCCATAGCACATATTTTCCTCGTATAATTTAATTAAGAAACAATTTCGCATAATTGCGCAAGTGATCAAAGTGCGTCCAGTTCGGCCGAAAGGGTTTTGTCACAATGCGCTCCAAGTATGCGTGGCATGCTCGGTCCAGTTTGGTCAAGTAGATAATTTATGTAAATGATGAATGCTAGAGGGCAGGTTGGAGTGTGTCAGGCCGGCAGATACCCTAGTTCTTGAAGAAGCGCATCGTTTAGTTTCTGTTTTTTAGGTAAGCGTTATTCCTATGTTAACTATGTGTATAAGATTTGAGAATATTTGAGGTAGGAAGCATGGGAAATATGAGAAGAGTTGTAGTTCTAGAAAAATATCATAAGATCTTTAGATAAATCGATTCATTATATATATATTTAAATAGAATGATCTTTAAGAGGCTCTACCTTAAACATTTATTCGTTCTTTATAACATATACCTAATATGATATATATATAAGATTCTACTGTAGAATTTAAAATTACAAAAAATAATAATAATAATAATAATAAAGATTTTTAATACTTTTTGAGCAATACATTCCATCAATACATGCTTATAGGCATGCTCTGGCATTAGTTTTCTCGTAAGCATCATACCCGCTTTACCCCACTTGAATGTACATAGGGTATAATGAGTTAAATGAAATAGTTCCGTTGCTGCAGTGGTTAGCTTGCTGAGCATATTTCGCACTTTCACGCAACAGCAGCAGCAGGAGCAGCGGCAGGAGCAGCGGCAGTGGAAGCAACAGCCAGAAGGACTTCTCTGATAGCCATCACCAGCTCTGTACGGATTGTCACAACTATAAGCTGACACTAAAACCATGAAGGCACTTCAACATACAACAACAAGAACACGAACAATGTGGATGACTGGTCACGAGGGTTGAACCGATTGCTGCTCTTTAACTTTATGGGAGTTGGAGTCGTACTCGAAGTCGGAGTCGGACTGGGCTAACAAGCGACGCGTGGCATTTGCTTATTTACAAAAAGTACAGTCTTCACTCTAGTGCTGACAACTGTACTGCCTCTGTCTGTGTACGTACGCATGTGTGTGTCTGTGTGTGTGTGTGTCAGTGTCATCATTACATAACCTCACATAATTCACTTCCGGCCAACGTAGCGCACGTTCAGCTCTCCCTCTGCCCTCATCGTTTTTCACAGGGATTACGTGTGTGTTTG